TCTAAACAAAGCTTAGAGTGCCGTGAACGTAGCCTCAACAGCGCCTGCAAACTGCATTCAGGGCGCTGTGAACGTAGCCTGCCAACTACATTCACGGCGCCGTGAACCTAGCCTGCAGACTACGTTCACGGCGCCGTGAACCTAGCCTGCGGACTACGTTCACGGCGCCGTGAACGTAGCCACTGCGATATATATATATAATCTAGGCCTACCTTTTTCACATTTTGATTGATTTTGTTGATTGTTGACGCTGACACATCAACCTATAATATTCATACAAGATTTATATCTACAAAGCTGCTTCTTATAAGTGATACTTCTCTTAAAAGTGATGAGGAACAACTTGAAAAAGGGCAACGTCGGGCCACCAAACTAATTCCTGTCTGCTATCGTCTCAGAGAATTGGATCTGCCATCGCTGTACTACTATCGGAGAGCTAGAGGCGACATGATTGAATACTACAAGTATTTAACAGGAATTTACAACATAAAGGGAGACATTATTTTACCGCGGGATCTAGATCTAGTCTACACTCTAATATTAGGGGACACAGCCTAAAATTGAAAAAAAAACATGTGAAAACAGCAGTCCGCCAAAACTTCTTCAGTGTACGCACAGTTAACGCTCGGAATTCCCTACCGGAAAAGGAAGAGGCTAGCCATACTTAATGACGGCTAGACTGGCAGTCTAGCCGTACTTATTTTTAATATGATGGCTAGACTGACCATTTAAAAATAATAGGCCTACTGAATTGTAAATATATAAATTTTTTGTTTGCAGTACCTAAAGTATAAATTGTATTTGAGACGAAACCAGGTGCCTTAATGACAGTGCATGTATTTTGGCGATTGTTAAGATTCCCGCGTTTAATTCCGATGTGTGCGTTTTTCATACCCTCAGGCATATTTCGCTTTGGTCCCTAACCCTAGGTTAAGGGTTAGGGTCAGGGTTAGGGTTAGGGTTAGGGTTAGGGTTATGGTTAGGGTTAGGGTTAGGGTTAAGGTTAGGGACCAAAGCCAAATATGCCTGAGGGTATGAAAAAAGCACATATTGGAATTAAACGCGGAAATCTTAACAATCGCCTGTATTTTAAACCTCTTGTTTTCTAATGTTAATAGAATGGCCGTCATTATTCGGACTCGAGTCCGAATAACATTTTTTCGTATTCGGACTCGAGTCCGAATTTTAAAAATTCATATTCGGACTCAAGTCCGAATAAGAAAAAATGTTATTCGGACACGGGTCCGGAAAAAAGGAAGTGTCTTCGTTCTATAGATCTAACGTTCAGCGCTTCCAATTTTCCGCCATTTTTGAGTTTCCCCCACACCTTGTCTGCTCATCCGATGCCCGCCGCCTCATTGATACGCCCCCCCCCCCACCCCCCATGTTTCCCACTTTCTTTGTTGTAGAAAAATGTAAAATTGAAGATTAGCAGATCTCTGGCACCTGCATATTATGAGCTGTGTAAAAATAAAAAGACCAAATCGTTAAAATACACAAGCCTGTGTCATCTCGATTGTTTACCAAGAAAAAGTTGTGTTGCTGTGTAGAGCCGAGCATACGGCAACTTTTGATTCCATAGACCAGAGCACAATACATTACGTAGATCTACGTCAAGACTAGCTTTTATTATTGTAATAATGATCAGTTGCGGGGGGGGGGGGGGGACTGACGCGTATGCGACGTTCAACGCCCGGACCGATAGCGCCCCACCCCCCCTTTCCCCGACACGCACACACAGCCACACATGTGCGGGCCGCCCATCCGACCCCGACACACGCTAACGAGCCATCTTTAATTGCTTCTGATGACCCTCTTGACAAATAAACATTTTATTAGAAGCGCTCTAACTTCTCAGGCCGGCCTCAAATTCATTATACGATAAAAACTCGGCTCCGGCACAATTTAACGCCATTTTGCCCGAATCTCTACCCAGCCTGAGGCGAGTCACGAGAGAGGCAGGACAGGAATCAGGAGTCACGAGTCACATGAAGTCGGAAGTGATGTCATGCTGGACAAGAATCAGAGTCCGAATAACATTTTTTCATATCCGGACTCGAGTCCGAATAGTCACTTTCTAATAGAATAGGGCCTAAGATAAGTACGGCTAGACTGGACTAGACTATTCCTCTTCGCTAGCCGTACTTAAGTACGGGTAGACAGCCAGGCTAGCCGTACTTAAGGATGGCTAGTAGACTGTCAGGCTAGTCGTACTTAATATTGATGGCTGAATTGTAAATGAAATTTTTAGTTTGCTATGCCTAAAGTATTTGTATTTCAGACAAAACCAAAAGGTGCCTTACTGACTTGCATGTATTTGAACCTGAATAATTACTAGATCTAGAATCTAGATCTAATGAGACCTGTGTACTTAACAACAACAGGCTTGAGTCGATAGAAGGGCCAAACCTAGCTCTCTAAGTACGGCAAGACTGGCAGTCTAGTCGACTCTCAGTCTAGCCGTACTTAATTAAGTACGGCTAGCCACTTCGACCGGAAAATGTGGTGTCTGCACCATCCTTGAATGCTTTCAAGAATAGGATTGACATGGTCTGGAAGGCACATAAATTCTCCATGAACCTAGACTGGTTTCAAACTGCCAGATCCATGAGCACCAACCTAGATAACAGAGTGTGAAAACAACGAGCAGGAAGGAACAAGCAATGAAAGTGAAAGCAACGAACGGCTGATAGATTCTACTAATTCTAGGCGACTAGCCTGACCACAGCCGTACTTCAAAACTAAACTAAACTTACCGTTACAAAAAGCAAATGAGCTTTACAAGAACAACCGAAGCAGAAATATGTTGGGTTGTCAGAGTATGTAAGCTAGATCAAGATTTAGATGTAGACTCTTGCTCTGATTCTCAGCTTCTTTTTCTGGCATTCTGTGGTTGAGAACGAAGAAGAAAATCGGAAGTAGAATTTAGACCTAAAAATAGATCTGGCGTCTTGCAGTAAAATCTGGAGTGTCGGTGGCAGTATTTTATGGGTTTTTCTTTTTTCTTTGTTGGTTTTTGTTTGTTTTTTGTTTTTGTTAGACAGCAGTTGTATTATGCTAGTATTTTATCAAAATGATTAAGTTTTGCCCTTTCCCAATAAAATTACATAAAAAGGTTCGTTCATTGACAATAATAATTATTGAGAATTCGAACGGGAATTTCGGTTATGAGTCATAAATGGGCTTTGCCGAGAAACAAAATAACTTCGGGTTTTTCCTGTAAATTTTGAGACCAGAAAAGCAGCCCAGAGGCATGCTTCAATTAGGCCTATTATAGGTTGTTGTTTTTTTTTAACAGAAATTCTAGAGACCTAATAATGGGCATCATTGAATTAATCGCTTTCCATTCATTATCTGGTAGATGAAGACTATCCAAGTGAATCTATACAAGATCATGGAAAAGTACTTTCATTTATAAGATAACAGCGTTAAGGGGGGTTCATGATCCAGCTCTGAACTCCCCGCTCGGTAGGAACCGCCACAGGCAGTAGGTGGAGCCCGATCGTCATATCCGGCTACTGGCTGCAAAAATAAGCAACATTGCCACATGGAATGTAAGAACAATGTACCAGAAAGGCAAATTAGATCATATAGAGCAGGAAATGGATAGGATGAAGCTAAATATGTTAGGCCTTTCAGAAGTTAGATGGGAGGGGGCAGGCTTGATTAAAAGAGGATCCAAAACGATTACATATTCAGGAGGAAAAGCCCAAGAAAGAGGAGTCGGAATTTTATTTGACGAAGCAACAGCAGGAGCATCAAAGGTTTTTGGGGAGTGTCAGATAGAGTCATCGTGGCTAAATTAGAGGGAAAACCTTTTGACATAGGTGTCATCCAAATATATGCACCAACATCAGAGCACGACAACGAGGAAATTGAGACTTTTTATGAAGACCTTGATAAGGCAATGAAACATTTAAAATCACAAGATTTAAAGATAGTCTTGGGAGACTTTAATGCCAAAGTAGAAGTACACGTATAGAAGATATAGTTGGGCAATGGGGACTGGGTAAAGAGAATGAACGCGGGGAACGACTGGTAGAATGGCGCAGAGAAAATAATTTTATGATATCAAACACCTGGTGAGAAGATCACCCAAGAAGACGATACACTTGGAAGAGTCCTGGCGATAGAAGTAGAAATCAAATAAACTTCATACTTATTCAGAAACGTTTTAGAAACACAATAAAATCATCTAAATCACTGCCAGGAGCAGACTGTGATAGTAACCATGTACCAGTCATGTGTAAAATGCGGATACGACTGAAGAAACTCAAAAAGTCAAAGTGTGAACCTAAATTTGACATAGGTCTTTTAAAGACAAATCAAGAAATGAAAGAACGTTTCTCCATTGATGTAAGAAATAAATTTCAAGCTTTGGAAAACATTACTAAATCGGAAGAACTACAGAGGAAAATTAAAGACTCAATAATGGAGGCTGTGGAAGAAAATACCCCCCCCCCCCCCCTCAACCGAAAGCTAAAAAAGCTATAAAAAAGGATGACCCAGGACATAAATATTAAAACTAATGGAAGAGAGAAGAAAGGCAAAATCAAATGTGGAAAAGTACAACATCTTATTAAACGGGGAAATAAAGAAAAATTGCAAAGAAGCAAAAGAAACATGGATAAATTATCAGTGTCAACAAATAGAGAAGAACCAAAACAAAGACAGCAAATACATACATGCGTTCAAAAATCAAAGAAGTAAGTGGGATAAAAGGATGCTCAAATAAAGGATGCATAAGATCAAAGGGAGGGGATATTTTAAAGAACAAAGGGGATGTCTTAAACAGATGGTCAGAATACATAGAAGATCTTTTCAAAGATAATGGAGGAGAAAAATCGGTAATAAAGAATAAAATAAATGGACCACCAATACTGAAAGCAGAAGCACAAGCTGCCATTAGGAAAATGAAACAAGGAAAAGCCACTGGGCCAGATAATATTCCAGTTGAAGTGATTGTCGCGCTTGAAGAACTAGGCACTGAAATAACAACAAAGCTTCTAAATGCTATTTATGACAGCGGTGAGATCCCAGAAGATATGATGAAGTCAGTTTTTATAGCTTTACCTAAAACACCAGGTGCCACTGAGTGTGATATGCATAGAACAATTAGCCTTATGAGTCGTTTTACAAAAATTGCTGCGAGTAATAATGGGAAGATTGAGAAAAATGGTAAGACCAGAGATATCTAAAACGCAATTCGGCTTTGTTTCTGACAAGGGCACCAGAAATGCTATATTCACTTTAACAATGTTAATGGAAAGATGTATTGAAACACAGAAAGATCTGTATTTATGCTTCATAGATTATTCAAAGGCGTTCGATAAAGTTAGACATTATGAGCTATTTAGAATACTGGAAAAGCTAGACATAGATGGAAAAGATCTAAGAATTATAAGAAATTTGTACTGGGACCAAAACGCTGCTGTACGAATTAATGGATAATACAGTGAATATATACAGATTAGGCGAGGAGTAAGGCAAGGGTGTGTTATGTCACCAGACCTCTTTAACATGTACAGTGAAACAATCCTTAGAAACATAGAAGAATGCCCAGGCCTCAAAGTAAATGGAGAAAATATTAATAACTTCAGGTATGCAGATGACACGGTTTTAATAGCAGGCTCCGAAAAGGACCTTCAATTGCTTCTAGAAACTGTTGTAAAAGAAAGTGAACGTAAAGGATTCTTGTTGAATGTAAAGAAAACAGAATGCATGGTAATATAAAAAAAAGCAGGTAACCGGGAACAAAGTCACGAAGTATACAGACCCGGTAGGGGAACTCTTTTGTGGTTTCGGAAAATTTCAGCGCCCAGACCCGGTAGTGTGTGTGTGTGTGTGTGTGTGTGAGAGAGAGAGAGTGTGTGTGTGTGTGTGTGTGTGTGTGTGTGTGTGTGTGTGTGTGTGTGTGTGTGTGTGTGTGTGTGTTTAGAGAGAGAGAGAGAGAGAGAGAGAGAGAGAGAGAGAGAGAGAGAGAGAGAGAGAGAGAGGAGAGAGAAAGAGAGAGAGAGAGAGCAGGGGGGGAGTGCTAGCAAAATGTACTTGACATGCCCCGCCAGTTGGCAGGAGGGAACGAGAGAAAGATAGAGTGGGAAATAGGTGGGGAGAAAGAAAGACAGAGACAAACAAAGAAAAAGAGAATGCGAGCGATACACAGAGAGAGAGGGAGAAAGGGAGAGAGAGAGAGAAGTAGAGAGGGTGACTGCTCGATTGAAATTATGACATGTTGTCCTTTTCTTCAAATTGTGATTCCTCCAACTCCAAAATGGGTGAAAAACGATCGTTCAACGAAAAGACATCCACAATCTTCATTTAGATTTAGATCTATCTAGATCTAGGCTAGCCTCGAAACTAGATCAATGATTTATATCTGTCTGTATAGATCTAGAAGAACCTAATTCTACCATGAGCCAAGAGGGTACTGAAACTTTCCGAAATCACAAAAGAGTTCCCCTACCGGGCCTGTATACTTTGTGACTTTATTCCCGGTTACCGGGTCTGTATACACTCCCTTATAAAAAAATACCCCCACACAATAAGGGTCTGTATAAGGCCTACAGACGTAGTAGGCTAGCGGAGAACTAAAACTGACGATAATCATGGTTTATACGCTAGTAAGTGCGGGGAAGCCTCGAACACGGGGAGACTTATTTGGACTCGTCAATTCTCGCTAAACTGTTGATGGTACTCACTTCATCACTCAATCACATAATGTGTCATGTGGGGTTTAGTGTGTTCAGAAAGTTTTACAGTATCACAGTAAATCGTCTCTGATGTGTTAAGTTTTTGCCGCCTCACTGTGCGAACTCTTGCATCTGCTAGTGTTTTTGATAAGGCTGTATCTAAGTTTTCATACCTACTCAGTTTGTATACGGTTACATGTCATAATAGTACATTAACCCTTTCACAAAACTACGTATATATATATGTGCCTTAGGGTGTCTGTTACGTACCAAATTCATAAAATCAAACCTGGCTTTCATGATGTCTGTTTCATGAATATGTTTCCAACATTATCCCATGTAGGGAGACTTCATTCAGGGGATGAGGTGACTTGTACACTGTCCGAAGTCTCCGACGACTAACGTAAGAATAGTTGGAATCATAGTTACTTTGAAAATTACATTTCATATATTTTTCCGTTGTTGGTGTATTTCCCAGAATGCAACCATGTCAAGGAAATATAGAGCAAAAAAAAAAAAAGAGACTTTTAATTTACAATAAGATGAAACTCGCCTTCTTGTTAATGAGTCATTGTCTTCGTCGAGCAGAAGCTACAATGGGAAGAAATCTAACTATTCAAAACGGTGTGAAAACATTGGTGTGTTTTAGAGACTTGTTTACCATGACATAATTTTTAAAAATGAGACTCGGGGTGGGGCGGGGGTTGGGGGGAGGGGGTATTGGAGTATTTCATCAAATGTTCAAGGGTATTTTTCTGACCCAAAATCTGTCATACTAATATAAGATATGTCAAATGCCATGACGAACAACAACATAATCATGCCAGAAACATCTCATATGAACAACATCTACCCGAAAAAAGACCGGCTTTCTGGATTCTCGGTCGAAAGTGGCGCCCTTCTCGAGGAACTAAAACGTAACGTTATTACATGTATCATTGAACTTGGGATTATTGAGAAGGGTGCCCACCACGTTGGGAAAATGGGTTTCCGAGAAAGACGAAGAGGGTGACTTGGAAGTGCGTTATTAAAGATAAAAAAGATTCTCAGTGTTTTCATCTATTCATCTGTGGAAGATTTAGCAATTCTTCCTCCTTCGATTCAAGGCTCAAAAAGAGGTCAAAAAGCTCCTACGAGTAAGTCTGCCGTTGAAATGGAAGGAAACCTTTGGCTGAAATCTCTTACAAAGTGCAACACTAGATATCTAGCTCTTTTAGAATAGAAAATTCTGAGTAACAGTATTTAATCTGCGGACTTTACTTCCTTTATCTGTTTTGATTTGGTTGTGGTATAACCCCCACCAACATCAGAGTTCATTGCTCTGATCAGATAAAAATTAGCGATGATAGCTTAACAAATGGAGCATTTTCATGAATGCTATGCTCTCACCGAATCCAGACGTTGACTTACTCGGAAACTAACGTGATAAAGAATACTTTTCAACTCTGTTTATCGCTACAAAAACTAGCTTGTTATTAAGGGCACCAATAAGCTATGTTTTACAATGATTAGGGGAGATTTCAAGTCAACAAGTACACATGTAAGTGAAGGCGGACTGGTTTATAGATATGGTTGGATCACTCTTTTCTACGATTTCCACCGAGAGTGAAATACACTTTAAAACTTTAAACCAAAGGTAGAGGTATAGACGTATGCTTTGTCGAACTTTTGCTTCTTAAAAACAATATTTGACACCAGAATCACACTGTCCAAAGTCACCTTTTCGTCCTAAGTTTCCCCCACGCTTGTCTGATTCTCCCGCAGGGTTTCTGACATCTTAGGGTACCTATGTGATACTCTGGTGACAAAACGTAAAGATGCACGAAGCTAGTGGCGATGCCCAAATGGCTTACAATAATGGTGAAACATTTTCCGTTAGCTTAAGTTGTTCCTGAACCGAGCGGCGGAGCCAAACGAAAAAGTGTCTGAAGGCTCCCCACTATCCGCCCTTTCCTACAGATAGGCCTTATTTAGTAGGCCTACGTCGTCTTTTGTATTCTCTCTCTCTCCCTCTCTCTCTCTCTCTCTGTCTCTCTCTCTCTCAGTCTCTCTCTCTCTCTCTCTCTCTCTCTCT